TGAACCCCAAAACCCAAAACCCTTAACCCCCAAACCCAAAACCCTAAACCCACCTGCACAGCAATCCGTCCTCCGGGAGTCTCTGGGCTGCTGTTAGGGGTTTTTCGATAGACCCAAATGATACACCTTATTATGGGACCACCCGAAAAAGTACCCCTAATGCTAGGAAACCCCTATATCCCCGTTTAAAAGGTACCTAAAGTGGGGTTCTCAAACTTCGTATCACTAGTTGTGGGAAGCCTCGGGTCGATGACCTGAAAGGGCACAATTGAGTTCCCTAACTCCTAAACCCTAAATCCTAAACCCTAAAACCAAAACCCAAAACCCTGAACCCTAAACCTTAAATCCTAAACCCTAAATCCTAAACCCTAAACCCTAAACCTTAAAACCATCCTAAGTTCCCCAGTAACCCCTTAAGAATAAGGGCACCCTTTTCTTAATGTGCAGCTTCCAATAAGGAGACCTCAACATAAAAAGGGAAAAGGATACTACTCACTGGGGGACCTGGTATCTCGAAGTATACTTGGTAGCCCAGTAACCTTATTACAATAAGGGTGCCCTTTTTCCAGGTTGGTATATGATATTAAAGACCCCAATACCAAAAAAGGGCAAAAGGGCACCTGGCATCTTAAAGTATAGGCATCCTCTAGTCTTACAGGTCACAGGATGGGCTTAAGGGTTTAGATGGTTTAGGGTTTGGGATGTAGGATCTAGGATTTAGGGTTCAGGATATAGGGTTTAAGATTTAGGAGAGAGGGTTCAGGTACCAGCAGCCCGGAATTTCTTGCAAGTCTCAGGGCTTGGGGTAAAAAGCTGCGGGTGTCGGAGGTAAGACTCAAGGCCCAAAGTCAAGGTTTTGGATGGAGACTTCGCCGCTTATGAAGTACTGAACTTCGAGAGCATGTAGAATAACAGCCTTTCTGTACGTTTCTTCAAAACGGATGTTGGGCCGTCATTGTACTTACTCTACTTTTGGGATCCCTAAAGCACCAAATCCCGGTAAAGGAACCGCTACTAACACAAGCCTAAACCCCAAACCCTAAACACTCTCCCACCCCCTAAGACATGTAATCCCTGAACCCCGAGGGCCTCGAAGGCTGTGACCTGTGGCGGTCGAGCTTCAATGGCTGGATACTCGGAGATACCTGGACCAAGATGCAGGGCTTAAAGGTTCAGGGGTGTGGCAGTTGCAGGTTCAGGGTTAGGGATTAAAGGTTTGATTGCCCCGGTATAGACCCCAAGCTTCTGTGATGACTAGTAGGATTTGTGGGTTAAGGCTTACCGGAGGTGATGGGTGGCTCCCTGAACCCAGGACCTACAACCAGAGTCCTAAAAACTCTCCGCCTCCGTCTTTCAGAGCCAGCAGCAGTTCTAAAAGCTTCGCGCAATGATAATAGTCTAAGCTCCTTACAAAGGGGTTATATTGGGGATTATATCAGGGACTACTATAGGGGTTATTAAGGGGGATACTAGGAATTTAGACTATAGCATTTATGGGGGTTTAGGGTTTAGGTTCTAGGGTTTAGGGTCCTTCACCCTAAACCCAAAGCCTAACACGTGGGAGCTTTGAGCCGTTGTTTCTGATGTTGACGGCCTCCAACTTTTCCCACGAGAACCGTTGCCCGGATAATCCCTGTATAATCCCGATATATATCCTATATAACCCCATACACTATAATTCCTAGAAAACTCCGAAATCTCCGTTATCATCTTTAGATAACCCTAAATAACCCTATATCTCCCTGGAAACCCAGAAATCCCAAGACCTTAGTCCTGGGACTCTCAACTCCAAAGCTCTACACCCATATACTCTAGCAGCAAGACCCCTTAAATGGTGGTTTCCTATAAATTTGGGGTACCTTTTTGGGGGTCCCTATAATAAGGATTATACTATTTGGGGGTCTAGAAATATTGGGGTCCCCTTATTTAGGGAAACTATTGAATCGCTGATCCTACACTTACACCCTGAACCCCTTTGATCTCACCCCTTAACCGGAATCCGAATCTTCATAGACCCCAGACCATTCAGTCCCTGAAGCCCTGGACCCTGAATCCTCGCATCCGCGTGAACCCTGGACCCTCAAACACTAAATCCTCTGAGCTTTGATTACCCTAAAGGTCTAAGTACTCATGAATCATTTGCCTGCCCCAAAGTTGTACCACACTTGCAACTACCTTAATCCCAACTACATTTGTCATTGGATACCTGGACCCCAAACCCCTCCTGAACTCTATTAAACCCTAGCCCCTAAACCGCTAAGCCTTCAACCCTAAGCCCTAAACCCCAAAACCGCTGAACCTTCAACCCTCAGCCCTAAACCCCTCGACCCCAAAGCCCTAAGCCTCAAAGGGGTTAATCTCCCGGCCTGGGTAAACCAACTCGGGGAGCTCGACCTCTTGCTTCACCTGCTTGCCTGCAATGGGATCCATGGTACAGGGTTTTCGGGTCTTAGGGTTTTAGGTTTAGGGTTTAGGCCTTATGGGTTTTGGGGGTTAAGTCTGCGCTTTTCTGCGTCTGCGCGATTTGGCACGAGCTCTTGGGGATCTCGCACACCCTTCTGTTTGTTTAATCTTTCCCTATGGCTCCTAGTTACCAAAATAGTAAGCTACTGAGCAATGTAGAACACGGTTCCCATGACTTTGGTAACTGGAGCCCTTGGGTCTTTATGCGCCGAAAATTCGGCCCCAGCATCCCCGCCTTGTGGTGGGCAAGTTCCGGCTTTAGGGTTCTAGGAAACTACTACAACAGAACAGGGTATATATTGGGGTTATATAAGGATAACGGAAAAGAGCATGGAAACTACTGTAGGGTTTAGGGTTTATGAATTTGGGGGTTTAGGGTTCTAGGGTTTACGGGACTATCGATTAGGTGGTGCCCCTTGGCCACAGATACTGATGCCTACCAAGGCGTTGTATTCCCATCCTACCATATTCTTGGGGGGGGCGGCAACCTGATCTACAATCTGGCCAATTGCTGCCATAGTCCAAGCTAGGGTGCTTCCACCTCAAAGATATAGAGGTCAGACAGTTTTTGCAGCAAACCCGACAAGGAGAGACAGCAGCAACGATCATCCCTTTCCATGATGCGTTTCTGTGGCATTGACCCCGCATCTCAGCAGGACAAAAGGAAACAGGGATGATTTAGCTTCTTTGGGGACTACTCACGAGATAGCGTGGAAATGAAACACAGACACAGATTATGTAGGGTTAGGGCCTCATTGTACTTGAGAAGGAGACAGGACAATCTACGTACAGGCGTGTTGGGACGCTTCGTCATCAAAAGGCCTATGCAAAACACCCTAAACCCTAAACCCTAAGCAAAAAAGGATTCACTCTCATAGACCCCAGCAAACCTGACCCCCCAAGCCCTGATCCCGGCACGCAGCTCTTCAAACAATCCCTGCACCCTGAACCCTCAATCCTTGGTATCCCGACTCGCTGTGCATCATCCCCAAATTGAACTTTACCCTCTGCAGCTGAGAACCTTATATAGTAGTGTCCATTGTTTGTCCATTATCCCTGTATTACTCTATATTATCCCAATATTACCCCAATATACAAACCCCTCAATGGCACATGTGATATATTCTGGCCTTTCTTGGGCTTTTCCTTCATCTCATCATAGTAGACTTGCGCCTAGCGTGCAGGCTCCGGACACAGAATCTACGAGCTTTACAGGGCAGCAAGAAGCTACATGACAGATGCGTGGATCGGGCAGAAAAGGCTCCTGGCATTCAAGGGGCGACTTCTTTAAATATCCTGTAGAGCCCTAAACTATGAGCATAGGGCCGGCCTTGGAGTACACTACATCATACAGCTATACAAGACTTTGTTAACACGACAAAACTGGATCTCCTGACACGCAATTGATGCCAATAATATGACAAGTTGCTTCGCGTGAGATGTCGAAACAAACTCCAGGAGACGTGTGTTCTAGGGTTTAGGGTTTAGGGTTTAGGGTTTAGGGTTTAACTGGTTTGTCTACCTGGGGCAACCAGTGTACCCACACAACAAAGGGGTATGTACCTGATATTCTGGTAACAGTACAGGTTACTCTAGATATCTCTAGGTACCCCCAAGGCCTGAACTTGCAAGCTCCCACCCAAAACACGTTTGAGCTTTGAGTTTTCCTTTCCAGAACCCTTGTCCTAAACCCTGACCCGCCGCGCCTCAAGCCAACACTGCAGAACTCCCCGCCCCACAACTGTCTACCCAGACCCCCCAAAGCGCCTGCAACAATCCCAAAGCCAACCTGAAATAAGGTCTAGGGGTTAGGTTTTTGGGCTCACCCTAAACCCTCAAACCTTCGCCCCTACCGTGAAATCCCGAATAATGCCTTGCAAAAACCCAAGTACCTTGAAACCCACTGCGAAAGCTCACAACACCGCCTCACCCATCACAATTAATGGCCATGTAAAACAACCCGGCCAATGATGCTTGTCCAAGTCTCACCCAGATAGACATGCATGACATAATGCAACCACCACATACTCCTTCGTTGCACCGAGACAAAACCCTCAACGCTGCAACCTCAAGTCTTCAAAATCTGGGATTAAACAAGAAATAGAGAGCGAACTCTTAAAAATACAGATAACCTGGGATTATTCAAAGATTAAAGAGGGGAATATAAGGATTTATACCATATTATATATATATATGAATTATAGGAATTGGAAATGAAATTCGGCCCCAAACA